GTTTCAAAAAGGCTAAACCAGGCTATTCTTCATACTTGCTACGTAGATAGGAGCAAAATTTATCAGTTTAAAATTGATATGGCGTGCGGGGGAATGATTTGTAATTATTTTCGTTTTTTTTTCTTCGGAAAATGCATCATTTTTTAAAGAAAACATTGCTTCAAACAGCTTGAGAGACAGTCGGAACATTCAGCGCTTCGCCCTGGTACGAGCAATTGTGTTGCGTTTATGCTATTTATTGAGCGAAGTGATGATATGTTTCTGAAAGATTTATTTTAACTGATCTCATTTAACAACAGAGAGGAACAAAGGATAACCCGTTGCTGTTCAAGTAGCACAGAATGTTCTGACCGCACTCATTTAAAAAGACCGCAGATATCTGAGTGCAGAAATTTGACCGCTGAAATCAAAATCAAGAAATTTTTCAAAAAATTTTTTAAAAAAATTGTGATTTTTTTAAATTTTAAAATCATTTTTCGGTCCAAAATTTCCGTTAATTTTTTTTTCGAAATATGCTTTGTTCTAGATGAAATAATACTAGCATGAAAGGTAACAATAGCCAAAAAAACTGAGCGTTAAAATTGAAAAAAGAATCTAATTGGGAGGCCAGCCTCTGCATGTATTCAGATTGTGAAAAAACGAAAATGTGCCGCGTAATTTTTCTTGGCGCTGAGAAAACTTTTTGACGTTTGTTAAAAAGTCCGAATCAAGATAAGGGGCTGCAGTGTGAATCCGTTTTTGGTCCTGTCTGAATTTTCCTTGAGATTCCTAGAGAGAGAAATACGAAACCGACCCCATGTCATAACTCCTTACCGAACCCTAGGTCATAGTTCTTTCCCACTAAGAGACAGACTCTAAATCAAATTTTCTTCCCATTTTTTGAGAGAGATCGGAACAACAATGCAAAGCCCTGAATGTCTCGACTGCCGCTCATATTGAAGTTTTTTTCTGGTAGTACACTTTTTTGAGGCTGAGCAGTCTCTTTGGAGTTGATAAAAAATTTTTAAATCCTGGGCTGAGTTACTTTTAGACAGTTGCCTAAAGGCCAAAGGGTTACCTAGGTGTACTAATTAAGTCTTGAAAATAAATCTTAGCTCTTGACTTTCTTTGAGTATGGTATAATGAGGTGCCTTTGACTTTATTCAGCTAATCATTTCTATTAATAACAGGAGGAACTGAATTAAACGTATTCTCTTAAATACACGCTTTTGATGATTCCGCGTTTTTTTTTGCTTAAGTATATTGATGAGCGGAATTTAGGGCAATTAATCAAGATAGTTAAAAGTGAAGTTATAATGTTAAAGTTCACTGGAAAAACAAATCGAATTCGATATATTTTTCCAGTGAACTTTACATGAAATTCACTTTTAAATATCTTGATTAATTGCCCTGAATTCCGCTCACCATTTGCGGCCGGTTGACGCACTTCCGCTATTAAACAGAATCGAATTTGCATTTCGTGTTCACAGAAACTATGCAGCGTTTTAATTCTTTGACGCAATTAAATTGATCGTATGTCAGACCGAAAAAAAAATCGTTTTAGCAAAGATTACCCACCTCGTGAACAACCAGTTGAACTAATTAAGCATTGAAGAAAAATTATGCCTTCCTTATACGGACCAAATTAAAAGTATAAAATTGATTTTTTTAAGAATAGGAACATTGATGGGTTGTCAGACCTAAAACCTGTTGTGGGTGTCAAACTTCAATCAAATGAATGAAACTAAGAAACCGCAAAGAATCACTTAAAGAAGCAACCATTTCTGGTAAAAACTCTGCAAACTTTCTAAATGAAAATTAGCTGACTTGGAAAACGATCGCAGATAAATTTCTTTGCACTGTTCTAAAACGCTCGACTAAACAGCATTTCGGCAAAATGATTTCTGCTGTATCTTTCGGAACTGAAGTTCTAGTTGGCCTTAGGGCTGATGCAATTGTAAATGATTGCTTTTAGCTTAAAATGCTAAGTGGTATGACGAATAACGGTACCGGTTTCCTTGCTCAACCCCCCTCCCCCCTCACCCCCCCTCCCCCCTCAACCCCAAAAAAACCCCAGCAGTGTCAAAGTGGAAATCAGAATCAAACTGATGTCTTTTTGAGTCTGAGATGCTCACATTTTTATTTTTGAAAAAAAGCATTCTATCATAGTTTTTGTTTCTCTGATGGACACAATAAAATTTATGGAGAATGAAAGCTTTCGAACGCCACTTACAGGACGTAGCTTGTAGAAACTTGACTGCTTTTCTCATTTTTAAAGGAAAAAAAATAGAAGATTGGATCAGTTACCACTGGAAGCTGCAATCTTTCTACTTTTTTCCTAGACGACTCAACTTTTAAAAGGATCTAGCTGGGTCACAAAAAAAAATTTGACTTCAAGGCAACATTTAGATATTCAATCGAATCTCGTCAGAGTGGTGTGTTTGGTTGCCAAAGAATCTTCGTATTAGGCACAAAGAGAGTTGGGCACTCACTTTAAACTGTTCATTCTTACGCAACAGGCCTTATCTACGACCTCAAATTGTTTTTCTTAGACCACAGAAAAATAAATTAAAAAGGTACTCTGCTGCAAAATATGAGTTCACTTAGATTTTAGTCTTTTTGTGGATACATTTATGAACTGTCAGACAATATTTGTCAAACAATTTTTATTAATTTTTGATTTTTTGTGTGTCATGAAACAGAATAAAAGGTTTGGCTATGATCTTCTATTCTGAAGGTCTGGCTAAGACCTTTCCAATGAATAGGTTGGAGTGCAGAATCCGAACTTCTTGAGCTGTTTACGATAATTTTTTGGGTCCCAGAGTTTTTCTTTGACAAGCTTCGATTCAATAGTCCAACAGCCTCTTCATAAAAAAAGTTTTTAATTTCTGATCAAACTAAAAGTTTTCCAATAGCTTCAAACAGCATATGTCAGCAAATCTTAGACTTCAAATTAGTTACCGGTAAAACGATAAAATATGATAAACAAAGTGTATTTTGTTTCCATCGTTTGAAACTTTGATTGAAACTTCTTTGTCTCAAGACAAAAGAAAATTTGAGTTTTTGTTCCGACTTTCGATACGAAAGTAACGGAATATTTGTGCTCGGGGTGGGTTTTTTTTTTCTTCAGACAAAATTTGACTTTTTAACTAGCCATTTTTGACGGAATTTTTTAATATCATTCGAAAGGTATTGTTGTCCTGAGCTCAAATTTGAAAAGATAATTCACCTGTGATCATTTTTCGTAAAGTTACGGGGGTTTAAAGATTGCCATTTTGGCCAATTAGGGACAATTAATGTGCGATATATTTCGCGCTATCAACGCGTAAGCGGAGAGTTAATCCGTCTTAGAAATCGTTCCAAATTGGTTAAAAGAAGCTTATTTGCGATATTTGTTTGTTACACGGAGTAAAATTTATCCTTGTGTACTTTAAATGGCGTGTGGGGGGATGATTTTTATTAAAAATTTCAAATTTTAGAAAAAAAAATTTTCATTTTGTTTTATTTCATTGAATTTTTTAATATTATTACTGCTCCATAAACCTTAAAAGGCAGTCGGAACATTCAGGGCTTCGCCCTGATACGAGCAATCTTGTTGTTTTTGCATCACTTATCCCATGATTGAAATTTTAAAAGTACTTTTAACCATAAAAAGTTACAGGTGGAATATCTTCTAATATTTCAGTTTACGGCATTGATACTTATCGCAAGGTATAAAAATTGTCATTTTAAACAGGACTGCTCGTATATAAAGGCAAAGCCCTGAATGTTCCGACTTTCCCTTAATTCATACCGAATAATTTTTGGGAAAAGAAAATATTGAAAACCTATAAATTTTGGACAATATCAAAGTGTGAAATGTTGAGTCGTACGAAAGTAATACGATCGATCTGATAAGCTAGCCTCAATTCAATTTGGAACGATTTTGTCGTGCGGGATAATTCGCCACCTATAAATAATTCGCGTTAAGCTATCAGCAATATGAATAAATTCTTCAAAGCGCGCATAATTTAGCCCAGAACGTGACTAATTTGGCAATTTTCAAGCCCCCAGAACTTAAAAAAAAAATAATCGGAGGTAAAATATCTTTTTAAATTTGAGCTCAGGAAGTCGATATCTTCAATGAAGTGTGAAAATTTTTTTGTCAAAAACGGAAAATATTATTTCGATCGGCGAAAATTGACTGAATAAAAAAACAACACCGAGCATAAAAATTCCGTTTTCTTCGAAAGTCGGAACAAAAACCATCGAACTTGGGCAGAAGAAAAAAAAAACTGCGAAAAAATTTGTTTTGTTGTTCCGACTTTCGTAACGAAAGTAACGGATTATTTGTGCTCGGGGTGAGTTTTTTTTTCTACAGACAATTTTCGACTTTTAACTAGCCATTTTTGACGGGATTTCTTAAAATATCATTCAAAAGGTAAAATCATCTGAGCTAAAATTCGAAAAGATCTTTCATCTGTGATCGTTTTTCGTAAAGTTATGGGGGTTTAAAGATTGCCATTTTGGCCATTTTGACCAATTTGGGACTAAAGATTGCCAAAGATTTAGTAAAGATTGACTAAAGATTGCAATTTGGGACCAATTTGGGGTTTAAAGATTGCCATTTTGGCCAATTTGGGACAACTAACGCGGGATATATTTCGCGCTATTAATGCGTAAGCCGAGATTTAATCCGTCTTAGAAATTGTTCCAAAGTGGATTGAGGCATACTTTTTGGTCTAATTAATAGTTTGATCCATGCAAAATATATCAGTTTGTACTTAACATAGCGTGTGGGGGATGATTTAAAAAAAACTTTTAAAAAAAGATTTTTTCCTTTTTTAAAAAAAAATTTTAGTTGAAACTACTACATAGAAATTAGAATGCAGTCGGAACAATCAGGTATTCGCTCTGATACGAGCAGTCAGTCAAATGAGTCTTTTTGGTGTCCTTCCAAGATGGGACTTTTTATTGTTATGGGTTGTGTAAATCATAATCGAGTCTGTTTCCCTTCTTGAGAACGAATTTGATTGTTGTAGTTGTTCATGGTGGACAACTGCGTGGATGACTGGCAGATAGCGATGACGTGGGAGCGAGTGACTCAGGTGGCGGCCGAGGTGCTCGTCTGTCTCGTGCACTGTCCCCCCTTCCTCGTCCCCCACACCCACAAAATTCTCAACCTCTCCAGCCAAGACCTCCTAGCCCGTAAGTAAATAAAAATAAGGCGCCATGTTTCAAAAAAATATCAGCTAATTAATTCAAAAATATCAGCTAATTAATTCAAATTTTAAAGTGTTTATGCAAAAATAACGCTTGCTCTGTATTTTAATGATAAGTCTTGGATTTTTGAGTGAAAAAATGTGAAAAAGATATTTTTTCACATGATTATTTTTTGTTTTTAATCTAGAAAACTTTGCTTTTTTTGCGGCACAAACAATTTAGAATTTAAAATAATTGCTCGAGAGTTTTTCAATGATTTCGTACAGCCCCGACAGATGCGACCAAATTCACGTTCAGCGACCTGCAGCTCATCCTGTCCATCTTCATGTTCGCCCGCTTCTACCTTACGGGTCGGGTGATGTTGCTGCACTCGAAACTGTTCACAGACGCCTCCTCCAGAAGCATAGGGGCCCTGAATAGGATCAACTTCAATACCAAATTCGTCATCAAGACCCTCATGACCATATGTCCAGGCACCTTTCTCATGGTGTTCACAGTCAGTTTGTGGTTCGTCGCATCATGGGTCCTCAGGGCATGCGAGAGGTGAGTCATCTTTCTCTGAGCTCTCCTAGAACGCTAGAAAGTAGTCGTGATGCAAAATACGTTCGAAAGTTGCCTTCCAATGTTCGTCAGCAACATTCGAACATTCGCCGAACGTTCGAACATTTGAGATTTCATTAGGGTTTTTCGTTTTTTTTGAGAAAAGAAATTGAAAATCAAAATTTAATTGAAAATTTTCCAATTTCCATGCAGAATATTGTGCATGTTTACACAATTCTAGTAGAATACCCTGCTTTGCCAAGATTTTTTGTTTTGCAGCCAAATTTTGAATAAGAAAATAATTCAAAATTGCCTTTTGTGTGCTTTTTAGGTTTTGATAAACATTTCTTTTTTTTTCTGCCGCTCGCTGACTCTTATATATTTTTATATAAGTTGGTTTCAAAGTTATCGGCGGAAAATCGTTTGGTCGGTCAAAGGAAGAAATCTCCTAAGAGCCCCCCCCCCCCCACCCCTCCCCAAACTCCTACATGTGAAGTAAAATCAAATAGCAATTTTCATGCCATGACTTTCTCGACGTGAAAAGAATCTGATAAAAAAAATATACACATCAAAAACTAATTCGGCATTGCGGAAAGACCAGACAGCATCAAACTGAGTTTCCATTTTTCCATTCACCTTTAATGACACATTGATGTTTATATTCATACTAAAACCTCTTAAGTATTACAAGTTAACAAAGTTAAGTCGCTTCTAAGCTTTTCCTGTTGACAAAGACTTCTGTTCAAACAGACTTGGTCGCCAATTGAGGATTGCCTCTCTTTATGTGGTGTGATTTCCAAAGTGTATTAATCCCCTAAAGACTCAAATCACTGGAATGTTAAATGCTTTTTGAAAGGCTCGAATTAAAAAAAGATCCAGTCTGAAGATTGAAAGTCCAATTTTGAGTAGCTGTGGCTTTGCCGACGTCTTTCATACTTGAATAGAGTCCACGAAAAAAATGATATTTTTTCGATAATAGAGTGATACAACTTCGCGAGATTGCTCCAAGCCGACATTTATGAAAAACAGGCCATATTGAAAGCTAACTTAAAATGATGAGCAGGTTGCCAAGTTACAATTCGGACCAATCGAGCCGAGGCTTACTTAAACAGTGTTAATACATAAATTGAAGACTAAATCGAAGCCAAATCGAACCCAAAAATTAGAACTTAGACATGAAAAGAAACATTCCTATGAAACGTGGACCACAAAACATTCACGACGCATGGTCAGTAGCGTGCCGAGAAGGGAGTGGGGGGACCACCCCCTTCCCCACCTCTCAATTCTGGTTGCCAATTTTTTCCAAAGGGTCCCCCTTTGGTATAACTTTACGACATCCATTTTTGGCTGACCAACCTCAAAATTTTTCTAAAAGCCTTTGGTGCCAATATAACTAATTTTGAGGGGGGAGCGCGCGCCAAAAAAAACGCATTTTTTGTCGAAATTTTTCAAAAAATGCCCAAAAACGCAGTTGACAAAATAGGATCCTTATAGTATTATCGGAGAACTCGGAAAATTAAATTAGTCGCCCCAAAAAGGTCCGCACAATTTTCAAAAATTTCAATCCCCCCCTAGAAAAATTTCTGCGCACGCCACTGCATATGGTCTATCTTAAATTGAAATAAAAACTTAAATTATACGCTTCTGCCTTCTCCCAGCCTACGTTTTGAGCAAAAAACAACCAGTTTTTGTGCCAGCCGAAACGAATCTTCTGACAAGAAAAATTTGCAAAACAAACAAGACTGCTCGTATCAGGGCGAAGCCCTGAATGTTCCGACTGCCTTTAGGGTTTATGGAGCAGCAGTAATGAAATAAAAAATTTAAATGAAATAAAATAAAATGAAAATTTTTTTTCTAAAATTTGAAATATCTTATGATGATCAACCCCCCACACGCCATTTGAGTACAAAAAGAGAGATTTCGTTCCTTGTAACAAATCAATTATGGCAAATAAGCTTCGTTCAACCAATTTGGAACGATTTATACGACGGATTAAATCTCCGCTTATGCGTTAATAGCGCGAATTATATCGCGCGTTAATTGTCCCAAATTGGTCAAAATGGCAATCTTTAAACCCTCATAACTTTACGAATAATGATCACAGGTGAAATATCTTTTCAAATTTAAGCTCAGGACAACAATACCTTTTGAATGATATAAAAAAAACCCCACCCCGAGCACAAGTATTCCGTTACTTTCGTATCGAAAGTCGGAACAAAACGAAAATTACAAAAATATTCAAAAAAACTTTTGCATGAAAACTATTTTTATTTTAATTACAGCTGAATTCACAACTATATTGACAATAAAATGATGCCACAATCGATGCGATGCAACTTTGATTTAAGAAAATTTTTAAAAAAAGTTAGCATAGATAGCATCTTGTCTTTGCTAGTCGGAACAAAAAACGTTTGCTATTGGAAAGGTGAGCTGAAATTTAATTTACAAAACTGTTTTCTTTGTTTCCTGATGAATAAAAATGATTTTTAAATAGTTTATATAGATGGGATTCGACCCACTCACCAACTAAAGAGTCTCCCTTTGGTATTGTTTTATGACGACTATTTTTGGCTGATTAACCCTAAAACGTTTCTAACGGCGCTTTTGGCGCCAATGTTGGCTTATTTTGAAGGGGAGAGCGCGGATTTGAAAAAAATCTGAAATCAAATTGTCAGTTTTTTTTAGATCGAGCAAATTGCTTTTCTGAGCACTACCAAATCACTAAAAAACCCTATTTTGGCCAATATTTTTCGGCAATTTTTGGAAACTTTTAACCGAAAAATGGCGTTAGTATATATTAGCTCGAAGGCGCCTTCAGTAAAAATATAGGGTGAGCGAGCTTAAATGGATATCTCAAATCAGTTCAGAGGGAGGATCCTTTGGGTCGGCAGGGGGTTGAATCCCCTTTTATCCGCAACTGCTACGCAAAGTATTATTGTTTTTTTTTTTTAAAAAGCCGGCAGTGGCCGAAACATTAGTGGCTACTTGCTGTTGGTCAATTTTTTTTTATCTAGACCTGTTTTTTTTTTAAATCGGCAATGACTCAATGCAACTCACAATAGAAAAAAGGAAGTTAATAACTTTTGTGGTTTGTACAGTTAGATGTTAATGAGCAAGATATATATGACTTACATATTCAAAGTTTTCCGTCCCAATAAAAATTAGTGAAAAAAAAACATTTTTCAACACAATAATGGATAAAGACACAGCAATTCAAAATGTTCGCTGTTTGGCTGGCTGTATATATTAGAAGCATGGAGTACTAAAAAGTAGGGAGCCATTTTTTAACTCAACGTTTTTCATCTTGCTAAAAAAAACTTAAATTGATATAAGAGAGGAGCACCGTCTAAACAGACCTACTGCCATAATTGCAAAGTATATCCAGTTCAAGTTTCAAACTTAATTATTTCAGTGGCTTCAAAAACTTTCAGAATTGTTGGAGATTCGGGATGAGTTTTTAAAATGAGTGTTGATTGTTTGTGATTTTGCGTAGAAGAGATGGATCGGGGATGATATCGAACTTCCTGGATTCCATGTACTTGGTGGGCATCACGTTCTTCGCCATCGGCTACGGAGACATCTCCCCCATGACCTACTGTGGCCGAGGAGTGGCCATACTCTGTGGCCTCATGGTATGCATGTCCACACATTACAGTATTAAATTTTATAGCTAGAAGCTTCATTTTATAAAAAAAAAAACAAATAACAATTTTTATTAGCTTTGTAAAATGAGGTGTTTACTTTTGAAAAAGGTGATGTCGAGGAATAGAAAATTTCAGGATGGTACCGATGGTGTATTAGATTATTGCTTTAAAATCGTTTCTAAAAATTCTGCAAATATCGAGAGGAGACTTAATATTACCTTCTTAATTCAATTTAATTCTTTGTTTCCAATAGTTTCCAATAAAAAAAGAGCTGTTTGAAAGGTAACTATTTTTTGGGCACTTTTGTTTTCGAAAGAATTTCTGACTGGCATATTTTACGAGCATGATTTAAATTTTTTGTTCTTGACTTGTATGATTACGATAGTAGTTACGACAGTTATAACTAATTGGTTTATGACTGCAAATGGGTTGAAAGAGACTGTGAAATAGTTGGTGGGGTGTTACAGGGCGCGGGCTGTACTGCGATGGTGGTGGCGGTACTCGCCCGGAAACTGGAGCTGACCAGGGCGGAGAAACACGTGCACAACTTCATGATGGACAATCAGCTGTCAAAAAGGGTCAGTATTATATTTCTAAACATTTCTTAAACAACAACAACGTATTCTGTCCTAAGTCTTTAGAATTTTTTGGCTTGTTTACTAGATTAGTTAGAAGGTAGAAAAGGTAGAAAAATTAACCGTTGAATTAGTTTTTCATAGGGTTGGAAATTTTTTACTCGGTGCCGTTGTGGGAGCGGTTAGTTAACATGATCCATTTTATTTTGCAGTTCGACAATTTTTATAGTATTGTTTGTTTTAACTTCAATACTTTCTAATAAAGTCTATTCAGCACTTTTTCTAATTTCGAAATTGACAATTTGAACTGATCAGTTTTTTCTTTGCTAATTTCAAATAACACAACAAGCGCAAAATTGTAAGAAAAAAAAAGCACAAATGGTATTTCGAATTTCTGACACAAAATGATTCACGCTCTTTATCAATTAGAAGTTAGGGCAATGTAACCTTTTGTAACGTTCAAAACAATCAAAAGAATTAATTTAGAAATTCTGAAAAAAAAACATTTCAAGGAACAATGAACAATCAAAACTTGTAGTTCAAATTAAGCCGAACAGCTTGTACTTCAATTATTGTTAATTTTTTATTCATGCTGCAATTTAGAAGCAAAAACTTTGGATTAGAAAAAAAGAGTTTCTTTGAGCATATTAACCCAAGTTTAGAAAATAATAAATGAATAAAAACCTAAGAATAATCTTAGATAGGCATCAGTCTTCAGAGAGATCCTCTGTGAATCGTAGGAAAGTAGAAAAAAAACAGAAAAAAAATTATGGAAGAACAACTTTGATGATGTTTGCAGTTGAAGTCGGCAGCCGCGAACGTGTTACGAGAGACGTGGTTTATCTACAAAAACACACACCTGTCCAGCAAGCCCAACACAAGGACCATACGCAATCACCAGCGCCTGTTTCTCAGGGCCATACACACGTAAGCCATACATATAAACACATAAAAATCATAATGACCACGATGTCCACAATTTAGGCGATACCTTAGCGTCAGAATTAAGGTAATTTAAAAACTCGCTCGATTTAGATGTACATATATACCTACAGTTAAAACTTTTCAATAGTGATAAGCTTATACTCAAGATAAATATTTAAAACGCAGTCTATTACTGATGGCCATACAAATCCCCGCAGTCTATGGCGAAACATAATAAGTTTCAAGAGTTCAGAAAAAAGATGGTCGAAAAAGATGGTCACTCATTCGATCTGTCAAGCCACATAAAAAGCCACTTCAATTTATGGTCAAAATAAAAGTCACATAAAATGTCAAGCCATACAAAACCTCATAGAATGCATGTTCAAAAATGAAGAACCAGTCATGATTTCAATCTCAAATTAGTACAGCGCTGATTTATACTGTTCGGAAAAAAACAAGCAAAAATAGAAATTAAGAAAACTGCTTGTATTAGGGCGAATTCCTGAATGTTCCGATTGTTTTTCAATTTATATGGAGTAATTTTGAAAAAAAAACAGAAATTTTCTTTGAAAACCATTGAAAATAATTGTCCCAAGTTGGCCAAAATGGCAATATTTAAGCCCCCATAACTTAATGAAAAACGATTACAGGTGAAACAATTTTTAAATTTGAGCTGAAGATACCCGTACTTTTTGAATGATATTAAAAACTTCCGTCAACAATTGCTAGTGAAAAAGTCGAAAATTGTCTGGAGAAAAAAACACCCCGAGAACAAATATGTCTCACTTTCTTCGAAAGTCACAACAATAACGCGTTTTTCTCAAATTGTGCTTTCTTTATACAAAAAGTGATCCCGGGTTGACAACAATTCAGTTCCATAGTATCAAAAAAAGCTTGCCATACAATTACACAGATGAAAAGGTGTATCAAAATGTCAAAAATGATCAAATTTCATGCTATAAAAATGTATGGTACTCATTGTTTTCAGACTACTGAATTCTATGGCAATTATTCGTTCATATATGAAAGTTGTGAAGTTTCCTTTGTGAGGCGCCAAAAAAAAATTGCATGTAGTTCTTAAGCAGGGGCACAACAGCGGTTCGCCGTGATGGGCTGTACAGCTCGTATGTTGGTCCTATCCCTCGTGGATAAATGATCTTAATCTTAAAACTCGTCGGAAACGATAATTAGTCGAAAACGAAAACTTGCTTTTTTTGAAAAAGCGACAAATCGTCGAAAAAAAAACCTTGCGCTTTGTTGAAAAATCAAAAACTCGCACCAGCGACAATTAGTGAGGTTTAACTGGTATGCCGCAATTGGGCTGATACGTGTCAAAAAACAAAACAAAAATGTGAGTTAAAGACTTCCAAATTTGCCTCGAAAATGATTTTTTGTCGGTAAAACGGTTGATTGTCATAAGAAGTGATTTTGCAAATGAGAAAGAACGCGAGCGTTTAGTTATTTAGTTATTGTATAAAATGCTTGTCGCCACTTTTTTCATAAAAACTATTTTTTCCATAAAAATTATCCCATTATTAATCATAGAAATGCTCTTATTCAAATAAGCACGCAATAAATTAATTTAAAAGTTCCTAAAAATTATTTTATACAGCTATCCGAAAACTTTATGTTCCAATAAAGAAAATTTTTATCTTGCAAGTTTTAAATTGTATGATAAGCATTATTTCGCACATAGAGTCATTCGTGTCGGCAAAAAACACAAAAACAATTACAAAATCTTGTTAAATGTATAAGTCTTGTTAAAAAGGCTTGTTAAAAGTCTTGTTAAACAATTAAAAAGTCTTGTTAAGATTGCTCACAAAAATTGTATGAGACGCGTTCTTTCCATAGACTCCTCGCATGGAATTGTGTGACAAAAATTATTGCTTTATTGAAGTCAACCCGGGATAAGACGACAAATTGCTAAAACTTGGACAAAAATTAGTGCGGTACAACCGACTTATACCGACCCAGGAAGTTTGAGAAGGCTATGAAGGGCTTAAGCTCAAAAGATAAATTGTACCTAAGTAATTCTAATAAAATTCTAAGTTTTGTTCTCATCAATTTTTTTGATATACGCCCAATTTGAAAAAATATTGCTCGCTTTGTCTAAATATTTTTTATCATCTCTTTACAGTAGAAGTCATCATCATGTCTCTAAAAGCCCGAGAAAAACTTTCTAAAGTTTTTGATTACGCATTACGTATTTAGAGATCAAATCAAAATACTCCATGAGTCTTTAGTTTTTTGGGGTGACCTTCTTACACCGAAAACGTAGCCATACATTTCCACACATTTAGTGCATAGAAAAATCCTAGTCACACAATTTTCATGTTTCAAGAACTGTATGACAAGCAGTTTTTGGGCATACTAAAAACTTTGAATATAAGAAGCTAAAATTTCAAAACTACCCAATAAAGCACAATTATTTTTGTCAAAAAATCAATTGTGTTCATTATAAACATTTTCTAAAAGTTTTTGAAATTTTCTCATTTTTGTAGAGAAATTTTATTTGGATCGTACGACTAGAACTTTGTGTGGGCGCGGATGACTAAAAATAGATAGACATCTCTTGGAAAGTAACTCTACAGCAAGAGGAGGGAGCCCAAACTTTTCCAATACTTCAACATTTGGCTAGTCCTAATTTTGAGGGAACGTGTTAACCAGAAATCACAGGGGATTGTTAACTAGATCCGATATCATTTAATAACAAGGCCAATAAATTTGAAAGCAATGGCCTGAACTTCATTTGAAAGCGTCCGAATGGTTGTTTATCAAAAGACAAGCGACCTTTAGTATATGATCTATATCTTCTCTCTTTCAAACGAGCGCAGTCATGCAATATAAATAAATATTTGCCTTTCCACCTTTTATGACGGAATCAAACAAATTTGCCCAATTTGGGGGGACAAGGGATGAAAGCAATGGCAATACGAGTGACTGATGGCTGATTGATAGAAATGCAAATAGCACCAAATTTAGATTCACTCCACGGGTCTGGCTGAAAGCGATTAATTCCCTCAGGATATTCAAATAGAATCACAACAAACGCAAGTGATAAAGGTTACCAAAACAAACAACAATAACTAATCGGTTTGTTTATTGACAAAATCAATAGACTTTTTTTCAAACAAAATTAGACTTCTATTAGACTGGCATGGACGTCGTTTTTATGCTGCGAGCAAGCGCTGAAGAAAATGAGAACAATTGGTACAAAACCATTCTCAACAAAAAAATTGCTATTTGACTTTTTGCATATTTTCAGTATCAAAAAGCACTCATTTCTAGCCATAAACAAAACCTATCCAGACTATCGGGTACGACCGTTTGAATTTAATCAGCCATCTAGTAAAAAAAGACTGGCCGTATCAAGTTGAAACCCTGAATGGGCCTAACTGCCCCTTAACTTCTACAAAGTGACTTAAAATCTTAAAGCTTAACATTTTGAAAAATGATAACGCAAAATGATAACGCAAAAATGATAACGCAAAACTATTTGCGTTTTAGAAAGTTGAAATGAAAAAACTGCTCTTGAAATAAAAAACAAGACTACTCGCATCGAGACCAAAGAAAACACTGAATTTTCCGACTGTTTTTGCAGGCATTTAAAAAATTTTATATAAGAAAAAATGTATAATTAAATTTTTATAAAAAAGCAATGGAATTTGTTTTTTTTTCACACCCAAAGTTAAATATTAAGCAAAGATATCCGATTTCTGTGCAAGTAGAACAGAAGGTTTCGACCATAGTCTTTAAAAAACATACACAAAACAGTTTTTTTTCAAATTAGTGTCGTTACTTTTAGGTGGCGTGATAAGCAAAAAACTAGAATTTAGAACGTTCGATATTTATAGAAGAATAGGAAAATCGAGAAAAAATTTTCGAAGAAAAATGACTAGAAAAATGATCCAAAAAATCTTGAAAAAAAAACCAAAAAAATCACACATTTTTTTTTGTTAAATTTTTTTTGAAGTTTTGATTCCCAAAATGGCGTTGAGAAGCTCCGAAAACTAACTTAACTAAAAAAAAATTGAGCGTAAATAAATTTTTGTAAACAGCATAAATTAAGACTACTTAAGCTTGCTCGCTCAACTTAGAAAACGTTTTGAAACCTACAAATTAGTTTTTACCAAAACATGTGAATCATTTTTTTGAATTTGAGCTCAGGACAACCGTACCTTTTGAATGTTATTAAAAATTTTGGTCAGCAATTGCACGTTAAAAACTCGATACTTGTCTGGAGAAAAAACACCCCGAGCACAAATATGGCGTTCTTTTTCTTCGAAAGTCTCAATATTATCGCGTTTTTCTCAACGTGTGCTTACATTATATAAAAAATGATCACGGAATGAGAATTATTCAATTCCATAATAGCAAACAATAATAGCTGGTTACTGTGAAGTAGCACAGAATGTTCCGACCATAGTCTTTAAAAACTACGATTTAGAATTTTTTAATCCAAATTAGTGTAGTTTTTTCAGCTTGGTGTGATATTAGAATCTGACGTAAAAATATAATTCAGAGATAACAGACGGTCATAGTAGCAAAAGCAAATTGGACTAAATTTTTGCTGAAAAATGACTAGGAAAACAAAAAAAAATTAGAAAATTGGTTCCAAAAACGAAATTAAAAAACTCCAAAAACTAGTTTTACTTGCTTAAAATTAAGTTTTAAGGTCCTAAATTAGGTATTATTCAGCTGTTGTAAGCCTGCTCGCTTGCTTTATTTGCTCGAATCACGAAGAAAAATCAAAAATTTCATTTTGTTTTCTCTCGACACTAAAAAAAATTGCTAATTTTTTAATCTGGTTCAAATCAAGGTTGGAAAAGCTTAAGTGCAATTTTTTCCTCAACCCAGCGTGATTATTGTTTGTGGTACCTGATTTTGCGTGGAAAACAAAAAAAATAAAGCACACCCGAATACAAAGTTCCTCTTCATTTTCAATGGTCGGAACAAAAAGCTTGCCATATAATTTCACAGATAAAAAGGTGTTCCAAAATGTCAAAATGAGCCGCTTGCATGCTATAGAAATGTATGATACTCATTGTTTTTTAAATTCTCGCTGGTGAGGCGACAACTCATCGGAAGCACTAATTGGTCGAAAACGAAAAGTAGCGTTTTTTTGAAAGTCGAAAGCAAAAACTCGCACCAAGGATAATTAGTGAGGTTTAACCGGTATGCCGCAATTGGGCTGATCCGTGTTGAAAAACAAAAATGTGGAAATTTTTGTAATTTTGTATTAAATGCTTGCCGCCCCTTTTTTTAACACAAACACTACTTTTCTTGAATTATTTCACATTTTTAATCCTAAAATGCTCTTATTCTAAAAACAAGAGCCTAAAAACAGCGCAATAGATTATTTTGAAATGACCTATGAATTATTTTTCACAGCTATCCGAAAACTTTATTTTTCATATAAAACACTTTTCATGCAAGTTTTAAATTGTGTGATAAGCATCATTTCATCCATAGAGCCATTAGTGTCGTCAGAAACACACAAAAAAATCAAAATTCTCGTTAAACAATTTAAGAAAACTCAGGAAAATTGTATGAAAATTGGAAAACAAAAAAAGCTAACATAAAACCGTATAGAAAGTTCCTCCCAATTTTTAATGGTCGGAACAAGGTTTAAAAAAATTTAAATTGAAACATTTGGTTAACGCGAAACTGAGTGCACTGGGATTGACAACGACAACTGGGATTAATTTCTGGGGCTGAATTACTGTATTCGCGTTATTAATTTTTCCCTCATCTTCGATAGCCGAATCACAAACAGTGATCTCTTTATCAATCTGTTTCGAAATGTATTTTGGATCAGCAATTTTTTTCAAATTTTTTTTACTTGTTTTGTAGTTTTGAATATTTTTAAAAAAGAAATGGAGTAGGGCTTCAAACAATAAGCGATGTACAAACTAAGAACAATTTCTAAAAAACCATTTTACAACAACAAACTAATGTTTTTTCTATAATGGTTCAAAACTTGAACAAGAATCGATTCTTTGAACACTTCTGCTCAAAAAGATTCTTTTGATAAATTTGATTCATCAACAATATAATTTGAGAAAAAAAATTATGTTCAACACTTATCTATAGCACGTACTTTTTATTCAGAATTTTACAACAAAAAATACACCAACTTTTGCTTTTACAGACCTTTTCTGAAATTTTTCGTACTTTTAAGCTTTTTTGTTATTGTCCCAGATAATCAGCATGCTGACTAATTTAACTGTTATAAACATATTATACCTTCATACAATACCGTGCAAGAAAATTCCTTTTACACCATGAAATTGATGATTAAAAAGATTTAAGTGAAGTAAGGTGGGAAAAAATGCAAACAGAATAATTTAGAATGAACAATACAGTTTGTTTATCAGGACAAATTTTCTATGGTTTGAACTGCACTTCAATTCGAATTGTTGCATAGATTTGGGTAAAATTAACATTCACAAAACGCATAACTTGGACTGTGAGTATCATTTTTTAAAATGCAAGAGTTTGAGTGATATGGGGATTATTTTTGCTCAATATTTTTGCGTTTTTTTTTCTTCAGTCAAATTTCGACTTTTTAACTAGCCATTTTTGACGAAATTTTTTTTATCATTCAAAAACTATTGCTGTCTTGAGCTTAAATTTGAAAAATTTTTTCACCTGTGATAATTTTTCGTAAAATTATAGGGGTTTAACCAGTGTCATTTTGGCCACTTCGGAACAATTAACGCGAGATGTATTTCGCGCAATTAACGCGAAAGCGGAGATTTAATCCGTCTCAGAAATGATTCCAAATTGATTGAAGCAAGCTTATTTGCCATAATCGATTTGTTACTAAAAGCGACATCTATCTATTTGTATTTTATATTATCACAATATCTTAAATTGTTACATATTGTCACAAATTGTACTTTTGTCACATATTGTCACAAATTGTACTTTTGACCAATTGTCACATATTAGCCAAAACGGAAATCCTTAAACCCCAATAACATTACGAAAACTGATCACAGGTGAAATTTTTTCAAATAAGCTCAGGACAACAACAATTTCTAAGACGGATTAAATCTCCGCTTACGCGTTAATAGCGCGAAACATATCGCGCGTTAATTGTCACATATTGGCCAAAATGGCAATCCTTAAATTGTCACATATTGTCACAAACTGTACTTTTGTCACATATTGTCAAAAATTGTACTTTTGACCAGCAATTTACTAGATTCTAAGCGCAGTTAGGATAGGGCATGAAGCACCTGCCTGAGTGCTTGAGAGTATGTAGATTCCGGGTTTAAAATCATTCTTCAACTTTTATAAGATATTTCAACTTTGATTGTTTTTCGTAAAAGTATGGGGGCTGAATGATTTCCAGTTTAAACATTTTTAGACCTTAAAGACTTCAAATTTGAAAAGATTTTTCACCTGTGATTCTTTTTTGTAAAGTTATAAGGGTTTAAAGCTTGACAGTTTAATTAACATGCAATATATTTTGTGCTATGAACGCGTAAGCGTAGGTTTAATTGTTCCGTCTTAGAAATATTTTCAAATTGAATGGAGGCAATTCTACTTAAGATAGCGAGTGAGGAAAGGTTTTTAAAAGTAACAAGACTGCTTGTATCAGGGCAAAGCCCTGAATGTTCCGACTGCTTTTTAAGGTTTATGGAGCAGCAGTAATAACATAAAAAATTAAATGAAATAAAATAAAATGAAAATTTTTTTTTTCTAAAATGTGAAATTTTTTATGAAAATCATCCCCCACACGCCATATAAAGTACAAAAAGATATATTTCGTTCCTTGTAACAAATCAATTATGGCAACTAAGTTTCGTTCAACCAATTTGGAACGATTTATAAGACGGATTAAATCTCCGCTTACGCGTTAATAGCGCGAATTCTATCGCGCGTTAATTGTCCCAAATTGGTCAAAATGGCCAAAATGGCAATCTTTAAACCCTCATAACTTTACGAAAAATGATCACAGGTGAAATATCTTTTTAAATTCAAGCTCAGGACAACAATGGCTTTCGAATGATATAAAAAAATTCCGTCAAAAATGGCTAGTTAAAAAGTCGAAATTTGTCTGAAGAAAAAAAAACCCACCCCGAGCACAAATATTCCGTTACTTTCGTATCGAAAGTCGGAACAATAAGTATTTTTTGGTTTTTGTTTGAAAAATTAACCAATTTTAGAAGCAGTCTTCTTTATAAAAAAAGATTCTACCAAAAAAAAATAAACGCGGTTCAGTGGTTTAGAGGTTGAAGCCGGTAGTTACCCCGCCCGCCGTAGCTAGCGGGGGATGTCCGAGGTTCCAAACAAGTATTAGCCAGAACTTTTCCTATTCTGAACTTCTTTGAACCTCAAAAGCTCCTTTTTGCCGTCTTTTTTCTTGTGTTTACGAATTGCAGCTTCGTTTCTGTAATAACACATTGTGCCAGTTTTAAAAAGTAAGTGTGATCATCGGCGAATCATGAGATCATGGTTATTCTAAACTATAGGCCAGGTTCTGTCGACCAGGGAAATTACTCTGCATTTCTACTCGGGAATCATCTCTGACGCAAATTTTCCAAGTCTAAACTTTAGATATGGATTGATTAGCCATTAAAAATCAAAATATTCACGAAAACAGCAAAAAAAAGTTCAGAAAAGTATGGAAACTGATATATGGATAAAAAGTAAGTTTCCATATATCGCTGATTCCTAATTGTACTCAAGGACAAAAAATACTGACAATTTTCTGTGACGAGTACCAATATTCTGGTCACAAAATTTTTTTGTTTTCGAAATCTTCCTCCTAATCATATGCAGTATTTCGGTTGTTTGGCTCTTTAAAATACCTTTTCGAATTTCGGTTTTTTGCGCATTCGATTTTTTGCACTAAGCTATTGTCCATATCCTTTGTATAGTGACAAGCCCACAGTCTGACGTCAAACAGGTCTGTATTTTGAAAGAAAGTGGCTGTCTAGCAAGTGTCGATATCAAAAGAGCGAATTAAGTCTGCTTAAGGAGAGCTTGACAGTTTTGAAGTTTGCATGCGCTTCAAATGGTTCAGTAAAAGAGTGCTGACAATAAAAAATTGTTCAAACTAATTTCAAAACAATGGATTACAAGGTTGATGTTTTTCGTCGCTTTCGTAGTTCGAAACTGCTTAACGGCTCTCTTCAAACTCAATGATAACATTGCAATTTATTGATCTAACTGAAATGCGCTCAAGGCAAAAACAGCTCCAGGAAATCTTGCAAGCATGAATTTTGGAGAAAGTTTTCATGAACAAACTTCCAAAACGATTTAGAGCTACAACGCAAAAATTTCAAACATCAGAAATCCTTGTGAGCTATCAAAACCATGGATCTAAGTTGAATCTCCATCATGTTAGCGAGAAAAAATGGGCTTCATACGGCACATGTAATTTTTGTTTAAATGCAAAATAATATGGTCAATTCAGTTTTGCCTCAGCAAATTTACAAAAAAAATTGTTTCACGTCATATCAAGTCGTGATGACGTGATCAATTTAAGGACAAAATAACTATCTTTTGCTGTGCAAAAAATGTACCAATTTGCAGTTGACTTCTTGATTCAATTAGCACTTCAAGCTGTTTCTAGCATGCAGCTCTTGATTTAATGACATGGTAAAACAATAGGCCGGGTCGAAGTTGCCTCCCAAAACTGCCACGGGACGAACTGTGACAGCGGGGAAGATTTAAGCACTGTCAGTTCAAATTCTAATTCCCCCGAATAAGTATTTAAAAAGAAATAAAAAATGCAATAAAAGAATACTGAGGAAGCAGTAACAATAAAGCTTGATTTATTTATTTTTTGAGTCAACACGAGTTTTCCAAATAAACATGTCAGATTTTCCAATTTTGAAAGAATTTTGAATTTTAGATTCTAAAATGAAATTAGATTTTGATGTTTCAGGCTTCGCAAAACAAAAATTGACCAACGGAAATTATTCGACCAAGCTAACCAAATGGTGGACATGGCTAAGGTATGTTTAGAAATTTTCGGAAAAAATAAGAGAAAAAAATATTCAACTAAAAAACAAAAAAAAAATTAAATTAAAGATGTTTTTTTTCAGACACAAGATACAATCAACCTCATCCATGAAGAAATGAAAGCAAGAGAAATATCGGACATGGAAAGATTAGACAAAATGGAAGGTATGATTACGAATCTGCAAAAGAACATGGACCAACTTATCCTCCTCGCGAATCACTCCCAACAGCAACATCAAAGACTCTCCAAAGAAGTCAGCGCTCTTTCCACTAGTAACGCACGACAGCAAGCAGAAGTGTTACATAATAACACGACTAGCAGAGCGGAAATGTTGCGTAATAATACAGACAAATTATGCAACCCAAAGTGTTCTGATTTATCATCAACCTTGACACCATTGGTGCCTCAATCATCACAGCCTCCTCAAAACCCCCCTCAAAAAACAGTAGCAGAGAAAGAAAGAAACCCAAGTTCAGTTAATCAGCCGGAAAGAAGGCCGACAGCAAGTAAGCGTAGAGGTCTGCCACATCAGAGGGCGTCGGTTCAAGGAACGTCTGACACGATTCCCAGTTTCAATTTGCCGTTGCGTGAAAACAAATTGTCAACTGAAAACCCCAGGCTAAAAGACCGAAACAGTTGTGACGTCACTCATTTATCGTCACCGACAACTGCGAATGTTCTTGAAGAAAAGGAAGTTAACAAAAATATTAAAACTCATTTTGAACCACACGAAAACAGAAAAGATAGCTTAACCGATTCAACTTTAACTCATGACGATAGCGAAAACGCGAATGTCAATACGTAACAGAAACGCCATTTCACGTTCTATATTTTGCGGTTCCAAGAAACATGGAGCAAATCAAAACCTCCCGGTGACGGGAACAGTTCCAGAAGTTATTTTGACAATTTAGCAGTCAATACTAAAATATCCAGCTAAGTGGTTTGAAGCTTGCTTAAAGTTCGCGCTGTTAATATAGAAATAAAGAAAGTCGCTTCTCGAAAACGCTTCTCGCAGACCGTAAAAACTGTTCAGTTGAAGTATATATGCTTTTGGCCCTGAAACGAAAGAACGGAAATGAATCAACTTTTTTCACCGGTGGCTCCTTTTCGAAACCATATCAAAAGATTTGCCGTCGACACTCAAAGGTAACAAACCCACGTGAATGTCGACCGTCAAATGAGGCCAAGTTGAAAAGAACAAAGAAGCGACTTTGTATCGGGATCTCAGGCAACAGGCCAGGAAAGAGGAGCGAAATATTTTCGAAAACGACTTCATCGACTATTTTTATGTAATAAACTTCACACTAGTTAGTAATCGCAACTCAATGCAATGAGATCTCCAGGAAAGCAATTCTAATTCTGCAATATCACGCAATTCTCATAAAAATAGAGACCACATATTTTGTTAAAAATTCACGATTTCATTGTCCTAAATAAAGTATTTATTTTTGAGAAAATCCATTATCTGTTACTCAAACCGTTTCAACAAGAATGCGACTAGATTGTTTAAAAGATCTTTTAAAAATTAGAGAGATCTTTTGAGTTTATGGGTCCAAAAAACGCAATTAGGGCAGGGCTGAATGTTCCGGGCACAATTTCTTATTTATTTTTTAAACTGTCGCAAAAAATGTAATTACTTCTCCATTTTTCGCCGATTTTTTTTTTCAAATCATAATTTTTTTGTCAATCACACGCAAACGGCAATAAACAGTCAGAAAAAAACTCATTTTCTATATGTCATGATTAGATAAGATGGAGTAAAAAATCAAAAATAAATAGCATTTTGAAAATTGTAGTCTCTAATAATTATAACTCATATAAATTACTTCAAAGTGTTTGCTAGAAAATCGCCAATCCACTTCTAAGAACTAGTCCACGCTCTCGTTGTAAACTAGTCAGACAAATGTTATTTTTACACCAAAATTTCTTGACACTGAGAACTATTTTGAGAAAAAATCCAAACCAGACTGAAAAGAAAATTTTGCCATCATACCAGGGGCGGATCTAGGATTTTATCGAGGGGGGGCGGATTTTCAAAAAATTTTCCAAAATTTTGACGACCATTTTTTTTTAGGTCGACCAAATAGATTTTTCGAGCTCTCCCAAAGCACTGTTTTGCCCCTACTTTGGCAAAATTTTCTGTGCCGCTGGCAAATTTTTGAAAAAACAGTCAAAAAAGCCGTTTTTGGGCAATTTTTGAAAAACTTTGACAGAAAAATCGCGTTTTTTTTGGCGCGCGCTCCCCCTCAAAGTTAGTATATATTGGCGCCCAAGGCGCCTTTAGAAAAATTTTAGGGTCGGTCGGCCAACAATGGATTTCTGAAAAAGTATCAAAGGGGGGACCCTTTGGGTCGGTAGGGGGTCAAATCCCTGATGGGGGGGGGGCGTCCGCCCCCCCATTAAATCCGCCCCTGCATCATACCACACTCCACTCTTTATACACACTCCTAGAAGCTTTTTATGGGATGACTGCAGCCACGTGTATATGAATGTTTATACTTTGCAGACGTTGACTTACGTTGCTACTATGAGTTTTCGGTCCCAACGCGGATTGATTCAGACTTGGGAAATCTGAAAAAAAAACCACTACCTCGACTCGGGATTAAAAACGGGTGGGGCTGAAACCATATTTATGTTCCACTTAAGTACGGACACAGAACAATAAAGTTAAAAGTCAATCCATTTTGAAACGTGGTTGAATTAAAGCACATTTTCGGTCGAGTAGGTCTAACATAACACTTTTTGGGTCGACCGATTCCATTTAATTTTGCCTTGTCGAGTCGGTCGAAGCAAAACCATTGACCGACCGACAGACTCAAAATTTTTGTCTAACCAGTACATGGCGAATACGGTCGAATACATAGCATAATTCCTTTGGCCGATTCAGTAGGAGCGTAGTCAATTTCAATTGAGTCGGTCGAAAGCAAGAACGTTTGTGTCGACTGCGACCACACTCAACTCAAACCCTATTTTAACAAAAAAGGCATAAAAATAAGCAAATTAAATGCATTCTGGAAACGGAAAAATGTCTTTCGGCAAAATTGAACATGTTTTTGTGATTTTTCGTGATACACTGTAAATCGCACACAAACAGCAATAAACGGTCAGAAAAAAATTTCTATATTTCTAGATTATAAAAGTTACAAAAACATTTCAGTTCAGAGCAAAAACATTGTGGTTTAAAATTTTCAGACACGTTTTTTACAGCATGGTTTAAAATTTTCAGACAATTTTTTTTCCAAACTGCTCAGCATACCGGTCTTAACGTTGTTCATTTAGCTTCACTTAACATTCCCGCTAATTTACGTGACAAGATCTTCCACCCCCAAGGAAGCAAAAACGAGTGAGAATTTGACCAACGGAAGGGTAATTTCACTTTCCAAAAAATTACCATAGCTGATTCTCTGCAATTTCCGAAGCATCGCAATTCGAGCTAAAAACAATAATCAATCCGTTGGTGGGTGCTTTTTGCGGTATACAATAAGTTTCCTGTCTTAAACTCCCGTACTGGATATCCGCGCCACTAGGTTCGCTCAATATAACCTGTCTCGTACCCACCAAGTCATTCCGGCCAAATTGCCTTAGCGTATTTCTGCTCGCGAACAAAATGTATTCCCTTATTAAACGCTTCATCAAAACTCAAAGAAAGGAGTTTTTGTTCCGAGTTTCGTAGCGAAAGTAACGTAATATTTGTGCTCGGGGTAGTTTTTTTTCTTCAGACAAATTTCGACTTTTCTAACTAGCCATTTTTAATGGAATATTTTAATATCAATCAAAAGCTATTGCTGTCTTGAGCTTAAATTTGAAAAGATATTTCACTTCTGATCATTTTTTGTAAAATTATGGGGGTTTAAACATTGCCATTTTGGCCAATTTTGGACAACTAAAGCGCGTTATATTTCGCGCTATTAACGCGAAAGCGGAGATTTGATACGTCTTAGAAATCGTTCTAAATTGGTTTAAAAAATTTTTTTTACGATAATTGATTTGTTACTAGTAGCGAAATCTATCCTTTCGTATTTTATGTGGCGTATGGAGGGATGATTTTCACAGAAAGTTCTCAATATTTAGAAAAAAAATCATTTTATTTTATTACATTTAATTTTTTTTATTATTACTGCTCCATAAACCTTAAAAGGCAGTCGGAACATTCAGGGCTTCGCCCTGATACGGGCAGTGTTGTCTTCAATTTATTTACGGGAGTCAGTGGTTGTGAATTGAAAGGTCGTTTGACCAAGCAAATGGTCGGGTCAGAGGAATTTTGGCTATTGGTTGTGAGAATTTAGGAGAAGCGCTGACATTCTTCCAGCAAACTTATGTTCAATTTGTTAACTGGTAGGAATCATCCATCTACAGAAGCGGTAGATTCTTGGACTCATTTTTTTTATACTTTCAGACTTGGTTTAAAAAACTACAGAAATGAATTTTGATCAGAGAATGTTTCGACTGCCTTTCAAGGTCTATGGAGCAGTAATGACCTGGAAAAACTAAATGTAATGAAATTAAATTTTAAAAAAATCAAGAAATTTAAGATTTTAAAAAAAAAAATCAACCCCCCACACGTCATATAAAGTAGAGAGTGATAGATTTTGCTCTTAATAACAAATCAATTATGACAAATAAGCTTTCATCAACCAATTTGGAACAATTTCTAAGACGGATTAAATCTCTGCTTACGCGTTAATAGCGCGAAACATATCGCGCGTTGATTGTCACATATTGGCCAAAATGGCAACACTTAAACCCCAATAACATTACAAAAACTAATTACAGGTGAAATTTTGTTCTAATTTAAGCTCAGGAGAACAATAATTTTCGAATGATATTTAAAAATTCCGTCAAAAATCGCTAGCTAAAAAATCGAAATTTGTCTGAAGAAAAAACCCACGAAGGAAAAAACAAAAAAAAACAAGAAAACAGAACTCAAAACAAGCTTTTAAAAATAAGCACAAAAATTTTTATCAGAACAGAACCTTTCATAGGTAACTACTTGGTAAGTATGCATGAGGCAGGCTGTCTTGTATCACTACGTTACTTACCAAAAAGCATATTATATCACTGTCAAACTTAACGAGCAATTTGAAACATAATTAGATCCAAGTGAGTTTTTTTGTTTGAACAAACCAAGTGAAACTGCAGTAACATTACCGCAACACTTGAGGTTTTATAAGGAAAGAAGCTAAATTTTTTTTCTTAAATTTGTTTCCAACATTTTATTGTGAGCTTGAGCCACAAATGTGTATAAGAACATATACAAGTACAATTTAAGCAAAATACTGTAAATTGTACCAACAAACAACCAAATACTTCATCCAGATAATAACTTGAGGTTTTAGATTGAAAAAAAAAAATCAGCGAGCAATGAGCACCTTTAGGCACCTAACAAAAAAATAGAACTCACAACAAGCATTTTGAGCTTCGAAAAAATTACTCCACAAAGAAATCAATTGCAAATCTGGCGTGAAAACCTTCATGACAACAGACTTTTTCAAAGACAAGTAAGCAGACAAAAAATGTTTCGAAACCAGTGTCCGAAGAAATTTTGTTTAAAAAGTGTTTGCAAAAATAAGCAGAAAAATTCATGCGAATAGAAGTTTCTAAAGATAATTATTTGACAAGTATGCAAATAAATAATGGGCCAAATTCAATGTTTTGCTTACATTAGACAAGATTCGATAAATTATTCTAGAAAATATATTTATACCATCTAACACTATACGATTATACAAAAAAAATTGAAAATATAAAATACATCTTTTTTTGGAGAGTTTGGTTTTTTGATCGAGTTTTTTAGGTTTGTTTTATATTAGACCAAGCAGAAACTATTTTTGTAAAAACACTTTTCCGCTCTTTGAGTTTGTTTCTAGTATATTGTTTAATTGACACTTTCTCCTGATGATTTTAGCCCAGCTTTAGAAAGTTTGATCAACAGATAGACTTTCTATTCCGCAGGGACTCTGAAAATCATAATTCATTTTAGAAACCGAAAATTATCTAACAATTTGGAAAATGAAAACCATTCACGATTTGTTTCACGCCATTTTTCACGCCAATTCTCTACAATCAAGACACAAGGAAAATCACAAAAATAACGGCCAGTTAAGCAAAAACAGTTAAACAAATAGAGCCATTTGGCCTGACTGAAACTTTCAATCAAGTCATTTCTGCAAAAAAATGAAGATCAGAAAATGTCAAAACAAAGCAGAAAAAATGTTTGCTGCAATTTAATATATGAGAAACACACATGATTCATGATTGATTGCAAATAAAATAGAAAACTGTTTTCAGGGCAAATATTATCGTCAAAGAATCAAAAAAATTAAAGCTTTTTCTTCGGCACATATAATGAAAACTTAAAAAATCTAAGACAAAAATTCTTTTTCAACATCATTTTTTCCAACTCTGTCATTTTTTATCATTTTTGATTTTGCATCCTTAATAAACCAGAATTATAT